GCCACAGCACACAGCCGCATTGCAGACAAAGGCTCTTACTCAAACTCATGCCTAAGTGTTGATTCTACTTGCTGTGCCAAACCGTCAAGCAAAGTCACAAAAGTACAACTTACACACAGGCATCCAATGGAATAATGCTTTACCATCCTATCAGGAAGAGAGATACAGAAGTGGGGTTGGCCAGGTGCCAAATACTTCACAGGTCTCCTGGGAATGTTGACATGTGCTCAGGACAGGAGGGAAGAGATGTGATAATAGGCCACCAGCCCCTATGGGATGTGTTTTGGATCAAGATGTCCTGGGAAAACGGAGTCAGCCCACACTCTCATCCTGTTCAAGAAGCCAGGCTGATACATATGGTCCTAAGTACAGGGTTCAGTTGTGGGTCATATTAATGCCCTATTTTGGTTACAGAACAGACACCAATGGCCCTTAATGAGGGACACTGTCCTTCAGCCTGGCAATTGATTATGGGTGTTGGTTAGGTGGGGAAGGGAGGAGCTTTCATGACCTAGAGTTTGTCAGCTGACTCAGCAGCTCCAGCTGGGGACTCTAATGATTATTTCTGGCTCACAGACCAGAGCATATTGATGGTGCCATTTTGACATAACCAAATCAGACTTGTAAAAACACTGATTTGTATTACTCAATGACATGGGGAAATTGGCAGTTCCAAGCCCCACTCCATCCCTGAGTTGGAGGACACTGGAGTTCAAAGACAAGGTTAGAGATGTAGCTGAGTAGGTTTGGGGATATCAGGAAGAGAGTATGTTGGAGAGACACCAAGTCAGGAATAGCGTGGGGTTCAAGGCCCGAATGAACCAATCTGTCACTTACGTTGCAATGGAAAAGTTAAGTTTGTACTTGGTTTGTGGTTTATATGTGTTGTGAAGTTGGTTCCAACTCATAGGCCTAGTCAAAATATTATACCCCAGCACTGCCACCTCATTTTACCCAGCAGCCACTGCCCTGAGTCTGCATTGAGTGTATAGAGAATTGGGAGAGGAGGAGCCGGGAGAGACTATAGGGAATGCAGTAGTGATCTTAGAGACCTTTAGTGACTTAGACTTGGAGGAGTCCTCAACGGTCTGATGGCATGCCCCTTCCCCCATTGGATGTTGGGGCTCCTTGTCATCAGCCTGACCTGGGGTCTCCAGCTCTTGTGGACCACCACTCCCCAGCTTCCCTGCTAACCCCCTGAAATTCAGCCTTTTGAAGCAGCTTTCAGAGTATCATTCCTAGTCATATCTTGGCTAGCTGAGACCAAGTGGGGCCTGGGAGACATGACTCAGCCAGTCACCAGCCCAGCATAGAGGCCTTGTCTGACCACCAGCCCACATCCTGTCTGCTGAGGACCTGGGTCTGAGGCCCAGGTGGAGAGTAGATTGGTCTCTGCTCATGTCTCCAGGAGCAGCTGCAAAGTTCTAAGATTTGGGGAAGGTCAACTTGAGACAACTCACCCCTCTGCCCTCTGGTACCATGTTTTGGGCACTGGAGGTAGGAGTGTCTCCAGGTAGGGCTCCTCTGTGTGGGATTAGGGGTTTTGAGGCTCAGGCGAGGCTTTTTTTTACTAACCTTGAAGCCAGGGAGTTCTGGAGGAACCGGGGACAAGGCCAAAGAGGGAAGTCAGGAGACACAGCCTTGAGAGCCAGCTCTCCTGTGAGTTGACTCATGTCTTTGAGCCAGCCACACTTTCTCAGGGTCTAGTCTTCCTCTTTTCCTCCTTTCTCTAGAAACAGCTCCATCCACATTCTTTCCCATGTCAACTCATACTCATGCTGTCTTCTTCCATTCACCCAGGCCGACACCTTTGGGGTCATCCTTGAGCGTTTTCTATTGGCTTCAGTTTCAAAACAAGGGCAGGATCTCCATTTTAACTGCCACCACCCTGGTCTAAGGCACTGTCATTGCTTGCCTGGATCATTCAGCTACTTCCTGTCTTCTCCTGCTTCTGTTCTTGTCAGTGCCATCAAGTCTCAATCCTTCAGCTGTTAAAACGAGTCAACTCATGCCTCTCCTCTGTTCCGCCAGCCCCATGACTTCCCACCTGCCACAGATCTGGTTCCCTGGGAAGTAGCCTCAGATTCAGAGAAAGTTTATTGGCGAGCCCACTTAGGATCAACCCCTGTGGGGGCAAGAAGAGTCTAGAGCTGCGCAGAGGGAGAAACTGAGATGCAATGTAGTTTGCAGATTTTGTGGGAAGCTCTGAACCTGAGATGGCCTTCCAGAGTTGCCTGAATGGGCGGGGGGGGGGGCCGGGGGCGGGGGAGGGGACAGGACTTTATACCTCCATATCATCTAGTCATTGGATGTGGACATGTGGACCATCTTAGTAAGGACCTTGGGGGGGGCGGGGGATGCTCTTCAGCTGATGACAGTTTTGGAGAGAGACACAGCTGAGAACTATTGGCTGCAGCGAGGGTAATGCGTGGTTCAGTCCTGAAGGTGGAACTTTCAGTACCCGCCCCTCCTGCATCATTTCCCTCAGAACCCAGCCAATCATTACAATGGCCTACGACTCATGATCTGTTCCCACCCCCTCATTTCCTCTCTGGCCCATCTGCTGTGCTCTTCCTCTCATTCTTTCTGTCCTCGCCTCCTTATTGTACCTCAAATATGCCAGACTTGCACCCCAGGGCCTTTGCATTTACTGTTCCCTGGTGCTGTGGGTTAATGCACTTTGCATTTACTGTTCCTTGGTGCTGTGGGTTAATATCAGTTTGAACCACAAGCTCATGGTTCAAGCTCACCAGCCACTCCTCGGAAACCCTATACAGAGTCGCTATGGGTTGGAACCAACTCGACAGCATTTAACAACAACAACAAAGCTTGGAATGTCCCTCCACTTCCTTCTGGTCATTACTTAAATGTCACTTTTTCAGTGAGGTTTCCATGACCGTTTTATTGTAGTTAGGTGCTGTCGAGTTGGTTCTGAATCCTAGCAACCCTACTCACAACAGAAGAAAACACTGCCCAGTCATGCGCCATCCTCACAATTGCCATGTATGAGTCTATTGATACTGCCACTATGTCGATTCATCTTGTTGGGGGTCTTTCTCATTTTGGCTGATCCTCCACTTTACCAAGCATGATGGCTTTCTCCAGGAGCTGGGTCTTCCTGACAACATGTCAAAAGATTGAGAGACAAAGTCTCACCCTCCTCACTTCTAAGGAAATTCTGGCTGTACTTCTTCCAAGACAGATTTGTTTGTGCTCTGGCAGTCCATGGTGCTTTCAATATTCCTCCCCAATACCATAATTCAAATGCATCGATTCTTCTTCCATCTTTTTTATTCATTATCAACTATGAGGTGACTGAAAATACCATGGTTTGGGTCAGGCACACCCTAGTCCTCAAACTGACATTTTTACTCTTTAATACATTAAAGAAGTCTTTTGCAGCAGAATTGCCTAATGTAATATGTTGTTTGATTTCTTGACTTCTGCTTGAGCATCAATTGTGGATTCAAGTAAAATGAAATCCTTGAAACTTCAATCTTTTCTCTGTTTATCATGATGTTATTTATTGGTCTAGTTGTAAGGATTCTCTGTTTTCTTTACATTGAGGTGTAATCATACTGTAGGCTATAGTCTTTGGTTTTCATCAGTATTTTAAGTCCTCTTCACTTCCATCAAGCAAGGCTGTATCATCTGCATATCGCAGGTTGTTAATGAGTCTTCCTCCAATCCTGACGCCATGTTCTTCTTCATGTAATCCAGTTTCTCAGATTATTTGTTCAGCATACAGACTGAATAAGTATGATGAAAGAATACAACCCAGGCACACACCTTTCCTGATTTCAAACCATTCAGTATCCCTTTGTTTTGTTGTACCTCTTTGTCTAGGTACAGGTTTCTCATGAGCACAATTAAGTGTTCTGAAATACACATTCTTTGCAATGTTATCCATAGTTTGTCATGATCCACCCTAACACCTTTGCATAGTCAATAAAGCACAAGTAAAATATCTTTCTGGTATACTCTGCTTTTAGCCAAGACCCATCTGACATCAGCAATGATATTCCTAGTGCCATGTCTTCTTCTTAATCTGACTTGAATTTCTGGCAGCTCCTTACCGATGTATTCCTGCAACCACTTTTGGATTGTCTTCAACGAAATTTTACTTGCGTGTGATAATTAATGATATAGTTCAATGATTTATTTCCACATTCCATTGAGTCACTTTTTTTTGGAATGAGCACAAATGTGGATCTGATCGGTTCTTGATCACATGCTATCTCTTGAAATAGTTGACCATCAAACCAATTATTTTTTGGTACAGTGACTCTGTGTATTCCTTCTATTTTCTTTTGATGCTTCCTGCATCATTTAATATTTTGCCCATAGAATGTTTCAATGTAGCAAGTTGAGGCTTGAATTTTTTCTTCAGTTCTGACAATACTATCTGAAATTTCAGCCTTCCTCCAAATTCTACACTCTCCTTACCTATTTGATTTTTTTTCTTCAGTATTTATCATTGCCTATCATACTAGAAATGTTACTTATTTTGTTTATTCTCTCTCTCTCTCTCTCTCTCTCTCACACACACACACACACACACACACACAGAATATAAACTCCAATAAGTATTTGTTAAGCAGTGCGGAGTGAATACATTGAAACAAGATGAGATGATCCCTGTTGCCCGCTTTGAATTCCAATTTCAATATCCCTCTGAATGTTTTCCATCATTCATTTGTTCCTGCAGTTTACTCCCAGGGGAGGGGCAGAACTTTGGTCCAAGTGCTTGGTGATTCTTTAAAAGGAGCCGATGGCAGTGGCCATCCCTGCCCCTTGTGGTATTTCAAAACCAGATGCAGGCAGCATTGGGCAGGAGTAGGGGCCTGGAAGCCTTATTCAGGGAAGCTCCCACCAGAGCCCACAGAGCCTGAGAGAAGGTGCCATGTGGACTGCCCATGTCCCTGTGGGCTTGGTTTAGCAGTTGGGGAGTGGGGTGGGTCCTGGGCCGGAAGTCAGGCTCTAATACCCCTCCCCGACAGGCCAGCCCCCGCCGCACCTTGGAGCGGTATTTCCACGCTGTGGTGGCCGCTGTGGAGCAGATGGCCAATGAGCCCAGCCCAAGCCGTGCAGGTCACTTGGAGAGGCTGGAGGAAATTTACTGCTCGCTGCTGGGGCCCCTAGCGTCCGCCAGGGGGCGCTGTGGCGGTAAGTGACCTGTGGACCTGGGGGAAGGTGGCGATGCCCCGCCCTGACTGTGGGTGGAGATAGTGGTGCTGGGGCCCCCACGTTTCAGCTAAGGGTGCAGTTGAGGAAACACACCCGCAGAGGGCGCCAGAGGGCACCGCAGGCTGCCCAATCTGCAGAGGGATTTAGCAGGCCTGGGGCTAAGAAGTGGGTTGGCAGAGGAGCTGGGGAGTTTTCAAATGTCACAAAGTCCAAATTCAGCTCAAGCCAGCAGACTGTCTGCTGCTGCGCGCTGTGGAGTCAGTTCCGACTCATAGCAACCCTATATAGGGTTTCCAAGACTGCAAATCTTCACATCTTTGTTGTTGTTGTTGTTGTTAAGTGCCATCGAGTCGGGTCCGACCCATAGCGACCCTACTGGAGCAGAAAGCTCATCTTTCTGCTGTGGAACAGCTAGTAGTTTCAAACTGCTGACCTTGAGGTTGAGGTTAAGAGTCCGACTCGTAACAACTATGCTACCAGAGCTGACTGTTTAGCTTCACCAAAATCTCCTACTCTTGGTTACAAGTAGAGCAGGTGGTAATGGGCTGGTTGTGACCTGGCAAGTGGAGAGGCATGGAGACTACATTTTATTTCATTTTGATAATAGTAACATGTTGTTGTTGTTAAGTGCCGTCAAGTTGGTTCCGACTCATAGCCGTCCTGTATAGGGTTTCCTAGGATCGGCTGGTGAGTTTGAACTACCAACCTTGTGGTTAGTAGTCCAGTGCTTATCCTACAGCATCACACCAGGACGCCCATGGAGCATCTAATATATATTTATTGTTGTTGTTATTGCTAAGTGCCATCAAGTCGGTACCCTGTAGACGGTTTCTGAGGAGTGGCTGGTGAGCTTGAACAGCCGACCTTGCGGCGGTTCAAAGTCACCTTGCAGTCCAGTGCATTAACCCACAGCATCACATTAGGACACTCACTCTCTTTCTGTATATATATATATATATAGATATAGATATAGATCTCTGGTAGCTGGTAGCATAGTGTTTACAAATCGGGCTGCTAACCTCACAGTCAGCAGTTTGAAACTACCAGCTGTTCCGTGGGAGAAAGATGAGGCTTTCTGTTCCCGTAAAGATTTAGAGCCTCGGAAACCCTGTACAGGGTCACTGTGACTCAGAACTAACTCCATAGAACATAGCAACAACATATATGTATATAGATGCATATATATATATATATATACTCCAGGTTTGTTTAAATATGATGTTGTTAGGTACTGTCAGGTCGGTTCCAATTCCTAACCGACCTTGTGGTTAGCAGTATAGTCCAGTGGCACACCAGGAGCCCCTACTTAAATATATGCAGATTTAAACCTAAGTAGATGTAATATGAGATGTGAAGTCTTTGGAAACTCTATATAGGGTCATATGAATTGGAATGACTCGATGGCATGTAACAGTATGAGATGTATATATGAGAAATAAGTGGGCCCTGGTGTGGCGCTGTAGTATAAGCACTGGACTGCTAACTGTGCTAACCACAAGGTTGGCAGTTCAAACCCATTAGTCTCAGAAACCCTATGCTTGGTCACTATGAGTCGGAACCGACTCCATGGTTGTAGGATTGGTATTGGATTACTAATTGCAAGGTCAGCAGTTCAAACCCACCAGCTGCTCCTGGGAAACCCAATACAGGGTCACTATGAGTTGGAACTGACTCGGTGGCACTTAACAGTAACTGCATGATGCTGAAAAGGTTTCAGCAGAATTTCCAGAGAATGAGAGAGACTAGGAAGAAGGTTCTGGCTATATACGTCTGAAAATCAGCCAATGAAAACTAATGGATCACAGCAGTCTGATCCAAAACCAATCATAGGGATGGTGCAGGACCAGGTGGGGGTCACTTATGAGTCGAGGGCTGAATGGACAGCAACTAATAAAAACAAATGGGATTAAGAGCATGAACCCGAATCCAGGTTTGCCTGGGCTTAAATTATAGCTCTGCCTCTTACTCTGTGACCTTGGCCCAGCTGCTTAACCTCTCTGTGTCCTGGCTCCTCCTCTGGCAACTGCTGTCCTGAGTTGCTGGCAGGATCCAGTGAGATGATTAAATGGGCATGGGTAAGTAGAACAGTGCCTCGCATGCAGTAAAGTCTGCGGCCTCATTAGTCAGGGAGCCATGGCTGTCTGGAAATTAACCAGGAATAGAGAGTCAGATCCTAAGGCTACATGTGAGGTGTACCCCAGGTGCAGACAGAAAGGTCTGCTTGGATGGGAGTGAACACGAGGCTGGAGCAGGAGGAGGGACTAGCGCTGGTCTCTCCTGCCCCAGGTTCCTGAAGCTGATGAGGTCCCTTCAGCATCGCTGATGTTGAGTGTCTACTCTATGCAATATACTGCAGAGGCCCTGTAATAAACAGAGGCGTTTGCCTTCCCGGTTGGATGCAGATGGGGCGCTTAGGGGACACAGGGGAGACCAGCGGCTCATCTGCAGCACAGGGCAGCACAGGGGACTGGGAGGGAAGGCAGATTTAGGAGAAGAGGGTGTAAACGGCAGCCCACACTGTGCTTTGTGAGGGGCCCTAAATGCTGGGCTGAGATGTTTGTAGGAAACAGGGACCACTAACAACTCGTGTGCGGTCTTGGATGAGTTGCCGGTGGCAGAGATGGGAAGGAAGGGCGGCACAAGGAAAGGAAGCTCTCAGCACACCAGGAGGGAGAGGGCGTTATCCCTTCTGGGCCCCTGTGCAGAAGCTGGGGAGAGCGGGGAGGGCACAGGATCCCACCATCCTCCCCTCTGTGGTCTCCACAGCCTGCTCCTCCCCTCAGGTGACCCCCTCCAGGACCGCCCACCAAGCACCCCCCTGCCCAGTCCCCACATCACCTTGCACCTGTGGACGGATGAGGAGCAGCTCTGTAAGTGCCATGCGTGGAGCGCTAGAGAGAGGCAGCTGGCTGGAAAGGGTAGCATGCCTGCAAGTGTGTTTGCGGTCACGTGTGTCTTGTGTGAGCACCTTGCCCCTTCCCTGCGCTGTTCCACACGTCTGAAGAAGGACCTATGTCTTCACTGTCAGAAGAGCACAACAAATTAGCCTCCTCTGCCTAGTAGGTGCCACATGTTTAAGATGATGCCAACAGATAATGTTCCCGAGCAGAGTCCGTCACAAAAAAACTGTGGGTCCCCAGAGCACTCTGCTCACCTGTTACAATACCTCAGCCCAGGTGTCCCCTGTTCTACTGCACGCCCTGGCAGGTGTGCGGGTGTATGGTGGGAAGAGCAGGACAGGTGTTATGGATTGAATTGTGGTTTCCCCTACCTCCAAATGTGTGTAGTAAATCCTAACCTTTATGCCTTGGTGATGCTGTGGGTTAGGTGCTGGGCTGGAAACCCACCAGTCACTCTGAGGGAGAAAGATGAGGCTTCCTGCTCCTGTAAAGATTTACAGTCTCAGAAACCCTATGAGTCAAAATTGACTTCATGGCTATAGATTTGGTACACCTGTAGTTGGAGTCCTGGTGTGGTGCTGCAGGTTAATGCACTGGACTGCAAGGTCAGTTTGAACTGCAAGGTCCATAGTTCAAGCTCACCAGACACTCCTCAGAAACCCTATATGGGAGGTACTTTATACAGACTGAGCTGTGAGTGGCATTTAACAACAATGCCTGTAATTCCAATCCAATTATGTATTGGGTTGTCTTTGTTACATTAACAAGACAGGATTAGTGCCAGGTGTGTTTTGAGTTTGTCTCTTACAAGATCTAAAAGGAGCAGATCAAGCAAGCAGAGATGGGGAAGAGATGAGATGTCCAAGGAACTAGGAAACAGAAGCTGAAGAGACAAGGACACAGAGAAAGCCTTTTTCTAGAGCCAGCATCCTCTGTTCCAACGTCTAGCCTCTGAAACAGAAAGCATACATGTGTTTGTTAAAGTCGTCCATGTGTGGTATTTATTTCTGTACCAGCTACTGAGGACAACAGGTGAATTGGGTTCAAGGCCTGGCACGTCCACCCCTTTGAGTCATACTAGGTGGATTCCGTTCTCTCTCTGGTCCTCAGGGCAGATTAGGAAAGCCTGGAGATCTTCCCCAGAGTTAATAGTCTGGCATCTGTGTCCCAGAGGATGCTCTGGGGTGTGGGAGAATGGGAGGGTGATATTGAACCTTCTTACTTTCCAGGTGCCATTGAGTTGCTTCTGACTCATTCGTCTAGTATAGGGTTTCTAAGGAGCAGCTGGTGGGTTTGAACTGCCAACCTTGTAGTTAGAAGTCCACTGCTGATCCTACAGCGCCGCACCAGGACTCCTAAGTGCCGCTGTAACAAAAATACCATAAGTGGGTACCTTTAAAGAACAAAAAATTATTTTCTTACAGTTCTGGGGGCTACAAGTCTGAATTTATGGGGTGTCTCTAGGACAGGTGTGGGGAACTTTTTTCTGCCGAAATTTATAACATCATGTGTGGGCCATATAAAATTATCAACTTAAAAAAAATTAGCCTGCTATATTTGATCCAACATTTAATCAAATCACCCCTAATGTGATGACTGGAACTGCAGTTGCCTTGGCAGGGCCAGACCAAATGATTTTGAGCTTCTGGTAGTTTAGTGGTTACGAATCAGGTTACTAAAGGTCAGCAGTTTGAAACTAACAGCAGTTCTGTAGGAGAAAGATGAGGCTTTCTGCTCCCATAAAGATTTATAGCCTTGGAAACCCTGTACAGGGTTGCAGTGAGTTGGAACTGACTCCACAGTACATAACCACCACCACCACCACATGGCCCTCAGGCCAGATATTCCCCATTCCTGCTTTAGGGGGAGGCCCTTCGTCTATTTCAGTTTCTTGTTGTTATTAAGTGCCATTGAGTCGTTTCCAACTCATAGCAACCCTGTCCAGGGTTTCTGAGGAGTAGCTAGTGGGTTTGAACCACCGACCTTTTGGTTAGCAGTCCAGTGCTTATCCTACAGCACCACACCAGGAGTCCACCTTCTAGTTGCCCACAAACCTTAGCATTCCTGGACTTGTAGCTGTATCTGCCATGTGTGTCTGTCTTCGTGTGGGTTTTCCCCGTGTGTGTGTGTCTGGATCTATTTTGCTTCATTTATAACTCAGAAGTGGTTAGATTTAAGACGCACCTCACTCAGATAGGAAACGAGGTGGCTCTGTACGATAAGCACGGGATAGCAAACCATAAAGTCTGCAGTTCAGTCCCATGAGAGAAAGATGAAGCTTTCTGATCCTGCAAAGATTTAAAGTTTCAGAAACGTTATAGAGGGTTGCTATGAGTCGGAACCAACTCAATGGCATTTAACAACTACTGCGATGTAATATGCCAAAAGAAAACTCCTGTTTTCAAACAGGAACATATGTATAGGTACAGGAATTAGGATTTCAACACATGTTTGGTGGCAGGGAACACAATCCAATCCGTAACATGAACATATATGAAAACGAGCATTCCCAGGATTAAATGTGGGAAAGACTGGGCTAAGTGGGTGTCTTTGCTGCAGAACTTCTCAGAGCCTTTAATCAGTAAGACGTGGCAGGAGTGCTGACCACAGGACCTTGTCTTTGTCTGTTTCGTATCGTGTGGGAGCTTCAGTCCAGCTGAGCAGTGTTTGAAGAACATGGGACTGTGGGGTGAGACCTGCTAGACTCATGCCCCTCACTTCCTTGACCTCCTCTTGTCCTCTGCTCCCAGGGAAGGAGTTGGTCCTCTTCCTATGCCCTCGATCCCGCTTCCGCCTCAGTGCTGACCTGGAGGCCTTGGATCTGCAGGGTCTCCGTCCAGACCGGGCGTTGGCCCGCGTATCCGTGCTATCAACAGACAGTGGCATCGAGCGGGACCTTCCTTCCTGGGCGGAGGAGCTGCCTGAGCCCAGCAGCCCAGAGATGGAGCGAGCCAGGCTGCAACGCAAAGGGGGCATCAAGAAAAGGATGTGGCTCCCCGAACTCTTACTGCCTGGCAGTTGGCATGGGCCTCCGGGGCTGCACCGGAAGACGGGTGGGCCCGGCGGGGACGGGGAGCTGTTGCCTGGGGTGTCCCGGGTGCACACAGCCCGGGTACTGGTGCTGGGAGATGACAGGATGCTGGGTCGGCTGGCCCAGGCTTACTACACCCTCAGGTAGGGCTCCAACAGACTGGCTGGGGCACAGGGAAGATAAAAGAGATTGAGAGAGGGTCAGAAGGCAGAGGTCAGGGTGGGATGGTAGTTAGCACTACTCACACATAACTACTGTGTGCCAGGCACTGTAACAGGCAGGTAGGTGTCAATGGGCTCATTGTTTCCACACTGCTCCCATTTTATAGATGGGAAAATAGAGGCTCAGAGAGATTAGGGTAATGACAGCAAGACAAGAGATAAGTGGCTTAGCTAGGATGTGGAGCTAAGTGTTGAAAGCCCTGCTCTGATCCTCTCTCTCTTACCGTCCACTCCCAGGAAACGAGAGACCCAGAAGTTCTGCCTCACACCCCGGCTCAGCCTACAGCTCTACTACATCCCCGTGCTGGCCCCTGAGGTGACTCTGTGGGGGAGGACAGGAACCTAGGGGGACTGGGTGGGGACACATCCCTGTGGCTCCCCCACAGGGACATACAGAGTCACCATCTTTAGAAGGAAGAGCTGGAGCATCCTATTCCAGAAGCCACACAGGGGGCTAAACATGGCCTGTCTTGCACCCTGGCTGACTGCCCATCACTGTTTTCTTTTGTTTTAATGGAATTCTTTGCAAGCTTCTCTTTAAACATGGGCTCTCAGTCCCAGTCTTAAGTCCCACACACCAGCAGGTTCCACAACAGTGGTTGCTTCTTTAAAACTGGTGCAGGAGAGGAACCCGAGCCCCGAGGGGGAGTGGGGGGTGGGAGGGTGGGAAGGGACACAGGATAGAGTGGAACCGTCAGAACGAGGCTCTCTGTGTCCTCTACATGAGATACATTTGGACATGCATGCACACATGCACATACTCCCATTCACACACTGACACACACACCACACACATTTAATCTCACACTTAACAACAAAAACATCTATTTGCATTATCTACGTGAAAGTCAAAGCAGTCTTTCTCGGTCACCATTTAACACTGATGGTCATTTTCAATGTTCTTGGCAAGTGACCCTCAATGTAGGGTATTCTGACATCACCTGGGATATAAAAGAAAACAGGGACTATCTTCACAAGATGCAGAAATGAAGGCTGTATGAGGCTCAGTGACTGGCCTACATTCACAAAGCTAGTTTGCCTGGAACTAGAAATAAGGCTGATGGTATCTGGAGAGCCAACAGCTGGCAAGAGGGCATCTAACAGGTCTGCCCCACTTCCCTCACTCCCAGGAGCCAACAGCATCCAGGCAGCCTGAACTTGGAGAGCTGGCTGCATTCCTGGGCCGTGCAGACCCGTGGTACCAGAGCACCGTCAACACCCTGTGCCCGGCCATCCACAAGCTGGCTGAAATGGTAGGGGCAGAGGGAAGGGGCCAGTGTGGGTCTGGTGAAAGGAGGGGAGAGAAGAGCTCCCGGCAGGCAGGGATGGTGGCCATGGGATGGAGTGGAGGAAGGAGTTTTTTCAGAGATTGCCTGGGATCCTTGGCCTCAAGAGTCAGTCTCAGGGGCCCCAGGGACAGGAGAGGCAAAAGGGAACCAAAGAGAAGAGCCCTATCCAGTTGGTGCCTTAGAACTCGTTTGGAACACTTACCAGAACCTACTTTCAACCAAACCACTGTGGACATGACTATGTAAAGTATTCTTTTGTAAATTTGTAGACTAATTAGAGTTATCCTTCTGTTACTTTTCCTATGTGAATTTCCAGGTGATTATAATTGCTAATGTTTCTAACTCTTCTAACACACGAAGGCAACAGCTCAGTAAATTCTCATAATAATCCTGAGGTAGGCACTGGTGTCACCATCCCCATTTTACAGATTGAGTAGCTGAGGCACAGAGAGATTAGGAAATGCCCAAGGAGCTCTGGTAGCATAGTGGATTACGAGCAGATCTGCTAACTGCAAGATCAGCAGTTCGAATCTACCAGGCACTCACAGGAGAAAGACAAGGCTTTCTGCTCCAATAAAGATTTACAGCCTCGGAAACCATATACAGGGTTGTTATGAGTTGGAACCAACTCCATGGCACATAACCACTACCACCAAAGTAACAAAAGGAGAGGTAGAGTCCCACTTGGAACCCAGTAAGTTTGACTCCAGAGCACATTTTCTCTCTTTTATTGTGGCATAATATATGTAACAAAAATTTACCATTGATAACAATTTGAAGTATACAATTACAATTCAATAATATCTACTACATTCACCATACTGTAAAACTATCACCACTGTCTATTCTCACGTGTTTTCCATCCCTCTAAACAGAAATTCAAGGAGCTCTGGTAGCATAGTGGTTATGAATTGGGCTGCAAACCGCAAGGTTAGCAGTTTGAAGCTACCAGCTGTTCCGCGGGAGAAAGATGAGGCTTTCTGCTCCCGTAAAGATTTACAGCCTCGGAAACCCTGTTCAGGGTCGCTATGGGTTGGAACCAACTCGACGGCACATAACAACAACAAACAGAAATTCATCTGTCAATGTGTCGTACTATACAGTTTATGTGTTGCTCTGAGGGTGGAAGCTTTGCCACTGGTATTTCAGATACCAACAGGGTTACCCAGGGTGGGCAAGTTTCAGCAAAGCTTTCACACTGAGACAGACTAAGACAGTCTACTTCTAAAAATAACATTGTTGTTGTTAAGTGTCGTTGAGTTGGTTCCAACTCATAGCAACCCTGTATAGGGTTTCCGAGGAGCAGCTGGTAAGTTTGAACTGTCAACCCTGTGGTTCAAACTAACCTTGTGGTCCAGTGCTTACTCTACAGCTCCATGTCAGCATTCCTAAATAGAGGCCAGTGAAAACTTTATGACGAGCAGAACATTGTCTGAAATAGTGTCAGGTTGGAAGACAAAATACAAAGGGGGAGGAGCTCCCTCCTCAAAATAGAGTCAACCTTAATGGCGTGGGTGGAGCAGAGCTTTGGGGCATTTATTTGCAGATGTGACATGTGCAAATATCCATCAATAATTAGAATTTGGAATGTACAAAGTATGAATCAAAGAATATTGGAAGTTGTTAAAATGAAATGGACTGCGTAAAGATGGATATCCCAGACACCAGTGAGCTGAAATGTACTGGTATTGGCCACTTTGAATTGGATGGTCATGTGGTCTATTGTGCCAAGAATGACAAGTTGAAAAGGAATGACTTCACATTCATTGTCAAAAAGAATATTTCAAAATCTAATCTGAAGAACAACACTGCCAGTATAGGGTAATATCCTTAGGCCTACAAGGAAGCCTGGAGTCCTGGTGTGGTGCTTGCTGTAGGATAAGCACTGGACTACAAGGTCATTTTGAACCCCAAGGTCAGCAGTTCAAACTCACCAGCCATTCCTCAGAAACCTTTTACAGGGTCACTGAGTCAGACCCAACTCTACAAATTTTATTAACAACAAGAAGGAAGACCATTTAAAATGACTATTATTCAAATTTACTCATCAACCACTATGGCCAAAGATTAAGAAACTGGAGATTTTTACCAACTTTTGCAGTCTAACATTGATCAAACATGTGATGAGGATGCATTGATAATCACTGGTGATTAGAATGTAAAAGTTGGAAATAAAGAATCAGGGTCAGTAGCTGGGAAATAGAAACTATGCCAGAGATCACATGGTAGAATTTTGCCAAAACAATTATTTATTCATTGTAATTATCATTTTTCACCAACATAAACTGCGACTATACACATGGAACTTGACAGATGGGATACACAGGAATCAAATGGATGATATCTACGGAGGAAAATGAGAGAGAAGCTCACTGGCATTAGTCAGAACAAGGCCAGGGACGGCCTGCAGGACAGATCATCAGCCAGTTCAAGTTGAGGGAAATTAAACAAGTCCCCAAGAGCTAATGTGTAACCTTGACTATATCCCACCTGAATTTAGAGACCATCTCAAGACTAGGTTTGATGCCTTGAATACTAACAACTGATAACCACACAAGTTGTGAGATGGCATTAATGACACCATAGGTGAACAAAGCAAAAAGTCATTAAAAACACAGGAAAGAGGGAAGTAGTCAGATACACTGAGCAGACCTCTGCAACAAAGACATGGGAGAACCGGTGAACCAGATACAGATGGTGACCCCGGAACCCTGAGCTATAGAGGACAGGACAAAGAGGTGGATTGAGTGCTGAATGGAAGAGGAGACTGGACAAGACCAATGAGAAAGAAAGCAAATAAGTGGGCTGTCAGCTTGTGTGGAGTTGCACAGCTGTCTTACACTGTCACAACCAACTGCCAGTACAGAGGACTACAGGCACAGAAATTGACTGGAGGTGGGAAACAATGCAGGCCATATTTCTCCCTTAGTCCCCTGCCCTCCCAGTAGCCAGAGACGTGGCCAGTTCCACCACCCTCTCCTGCACAGCCTCAGCTTGGGTTGTGTGCCAGGAGACCAGCCCTTCTTCTGGAGTCATGTGATCCCACCCTGAACTACAACGCAACATAAACAGCAAACGTGGAACTGTGATCAGACTTCCAGTCTCTCTCACATCCACCAGGGGGCAGGTGGTGAGTGCCTGAGAACCCACCAACATACAATCCATCAATTAAATATAAATACAATGATACCACAATGTCTCAGAGAAAACAATTTAATAAGCAAGACAGAGTGCCTCAAAATACAGATTTAGAAAATATAATACCAGAAATAGTATCAAAAGTCTTGATAAAGAATTTAAAAGAATGCTATTTATGCATTGAGGTTGGCCCAGGACCAGGCAGTGTTTCATTCTATTGTGCGTAGGGTTGCTATGAGTCTGTGTCGACTCGATGGCACCTAACAAGAACAATAAATTGAGGGAGTCCTGGTGTGGCTCTGTGGGTTAATGTGTCAGAATGCAAAGCTGTTTGAACTGCAAGGTCAGTGATTCAAGCTCACTAGCTGCTCCTTGGAAACCCTATACAGGGTTGCTATGGGTTGGAACCGACTCGACGGCACTTTACAACAACAACAAATGAATTGAGAGAAATATCAACGAAAGCAAGGAACAATTCAGGGAAACACTATAAGAATAAACTGACAAAATAAATGAAAAATCGGAAACCATACCTATTCAGTCTATCTGCTGAGAAAATCATCAGATGGGACGGACTAGATGATGAACACGTCAGGATTAGAGAAGACTATTAACAACCTGTGCATGCAGAGGACGTAACTTTGTTTTCTGAAAGTGAAGGGGATTGGAAACTCTTACTGATGAAGATCTAAGATGTATAACTTTCAGTATGCATTGTTGTTGTTCAGTGCTGTCGAGTTGGTTCTGACCCATAGCTACACTGTATAGGGTTTCCAAGGAGTAACTGGTGAGCTTGAACCACCGACCTTGTGCTTCAAATCGACTTTGCAGTCCAGCGCATTAACCCCCAGCACCACACCAGGACTCCGTCAGTATGGACTATACCTCATCATAAAGAAAACAAAAGTTCTCACAATTGACCCAATAAGCAAAATCATGATAGAGAAAACACTGATAAAGATTTCATTTTACTTGGATCTACGATAAATACCCATGGAAGTAGCAGTTAAGAAATCAAATGATGTAGTAATTGCATTGGGCAGATCTGCAAAGGATCTCTTTTAAATGTTAAAAATCAAAGATGTCACTTTGAGGATTGACCCAAACCATGGTATTTTTAGTAGTCCCACATGCATTTAAAAACTGGGCAATGAATTAGGAAGACCCAAGAACTGATGGATTTGATTTATTGTGTTGCCGAAGAATACCAGATACACTGGACTGCTAGAAGAACAAAGCGACTTTGGAAGAAGTTCAGTCTGATGGCTCAGAAGTGAGGATGGAGAGACACTTTGTCTCACGCACTTCTGACACATCATTAGGAAGGCCCAGTAAAGTAGAGGGTCAGCAAAAAAGAGAAAGGCCTTCAATGAGCTGGGTCGGCACAGTGGCTGCCACAATGGGACCAAACATGGCAGCGATTAAGAGGATGACACAGAACTGGTTAGAATCTCAGTCTGCTGTGCGTGAGGCTACTATGAATTGGAACTGACTCAACAGCACCTAACAATGATAACAACCAGAAGCTTGGAGTCCCTCAGTGGTACAAACAGTTAACACACTTGGCTGCTAACTGAAAGGTTAGAAGTTCAAGTCCACCCAGGGCTATGTTAAATGAATCAAAACTGACTCCATAGCAACCGTTTTGTTTTTATAAAACAGAAACTTGGTAACAACTCTTCATTTCCCCCCTCCAGCCCCTGGTAACCCCAGATAAACTGTCTCTAGGCATTTGCCTGTTCTCAGTACTTCATACAAGCTGAACAGAGTCTCACACCCACAAACCACACTGCTACCCCATCCGCCTAACTACTGCATGGGGAGTAAGTTTGTCTTTAACTGATTTGCAAAGGCCTTTTATATATTAAGACAATTTTGCCCTTTTTCAGCTACCATATTTGTTGCAGACATTTTTCCACTTTATCATTCACCTTTCAATTTTGTCAGTGTTTGTACTGTGTGTGCTTGTGTTACTTATATTATTGTTGTCAGGTGCCATTGAGTCAGTTTTGACTGTTGGTGTTGTTGAGTGGGTTCTGACACATAGTGACCCTGTAAATCTTTACCAGAGCAGAAAGCCTCATCTTTCTCCTGTGGAGCCGCTGGTGGGTTTGAACTGCTGACCTTGAGGTTAGCAGCACGACATGAAACCCACTACACTACTAGCACATTTATACTTCATGGTTCCCACCTTTCAAAGGTCTTCTCCATATCCCTAGTAGACATATATGCACAGATATTGTGTTCTCATGCTTTTATGATTTTAATTTGTGCATTTAAATAATTAACCCATCTGGAATGAATTCCAGCGTTTAGTGTGAAGTGCGTAGTTTTAGTTTTTCCAAATGTTTAGCCAGTTGTCCTAAAGCTATTTATTGCATAAGCCATCTTGTCCCATAAATCTGATATGCCACTTTGATCAATTATTAAATTCTTACATGTGTTTGAGTTTATTTCTAGAGATCTATTCTTTCCCATTTATCTATTAATTCCTGTACAGACTAGCACATTTCTATTTTAAGTCCTGGCAGAGTACGCCCACCGCATTGCTCCAAGAGTTCCTAGGCTATGCTTGTTTATTCAGCTTTCTAGATGAATTCTAGAATCTCACTGACAAGGTAGGGTTTTTTGTTCAATCCCATTAGAGTTTGGATTGAGGTTTGGAGGAGAACTAGAGTTTTCAGCATATTAAGTTTAACCTTCTGAAAGCATGGCATAGTTCTTCATTTATTAAAGTCTTCTTGTATATTCCTCAGAGCTCTAGTGATGGTGTGGACTAGGCATTGGGCTGCTAATCTCAAGGTTGACAGTTCCAACCCACCAGATGCTCAAAAGGAGAAAGATGAGGCTATCTGCTTCTACAAAGGTTGATACTCCCAGAAACCTCTGAGTTGGAGTCTACTCCCTAGCAGTGGGTTTGGATTTCTGGTTTTGTGTATAGCAGCAGTTTTTATCAGATACTCTTGCTCATTTCTTCCTAGATTTAGTGTTCGTGCCTGATATTTTTTTCTTGCTTTCTTAACAGGGGAATGGTATCTTTCCCCTGTTATATTTGACTAGTACTTATTACTACTATGTTCATTGTGAGAATATTTCATATTTATATTGTCACTTGCCATTTTACTAAGCTCTCAAGTTTGCCTTATTGCTTGCTTGGTTAGGTTCTATCTTCTTATATTTTCTTTTCAAGTAGTGGTCCTTGCTGGGGGGTGCAAATATTCGGAATTAATGCTTATCTGAAAGTGTGTTCAGACGTATGAGGAGAATTCAAAAAGTTTGTGGAAAACATGAAATCAAAAGAGAATGGAGTTTTGCCATGAGCTTTTTAAAGCCCCTTCATATATGACATACTGTGCCTGGGTATTAAAATACTTTTTCCTCAGAAGTTGGAGGACCTTATAAGGAGAATGTCTAATGCAGGCCTCATTTATGTTCCTTTGTTGGAGCTTTTATCCCTTGCCAGGGTGCATGTAGGATATTGGTTTTATTCACCACCACCCTACTTCCTCTTACAGTGAACAAGTTGCGTGGCTTTTATACTTACTTTAAAAAACAGATTCAACAAGAGGAGACTTGAAACATTTTGAGAAATGACAGCATTATTAGAATAAGTTTGTAGTTCCTCAGTGGAACCTTTTTGAAGCAAGCAATAGATCATTAGACTAGATGTGAGAATCAGAAGAGATATAGGTTTAGGTATGAATTGTATGAGATACATAAACCTAAAACTTCCTTCCAACTCTTAAAAGATTCTATATAGATATTCTTTTACACTTTACAATAATATGGAGCTGGAACAGGTCTTGGGATGTGGCATTAGTCTTTTCCCAGTAAAGTGTAAACATGAATTAGTTTATTAATAAATTCAGAGGCCACCAGAGCAGGAAGAGACTTCCTATCATTTGGTTCAATCTCTCCTTTTTCCTAGAAGAAAACTCAAGCTTCAAAGAGTTGAGTACTTCCTCCAAGGTCACCTGGCTTGTGAATGACTAATACACCCTAGAACCCAGTCCAACTCTTTCATCATTAATTATACTTTCAAGCATCTTGTCTCCTCAAAGTACCTACTAGCACAATGTCTTACATACACAAGGTTCAATATCTGCTTATGGAATTAAATCAGGGGCCCTGGGAAGCTGGGGACAGGTATATTTCAAATAAGAGTAGAAGAAGAGTGTACGAAAGACAGAGAGTGTGTTAAAGAACCAACTGGGTTGGTATATCACAAAGGGCATGTGGGGCTTTGGAGTTTATTAAGAAAATGGTACCTGTCACATGGAGAGCAGTGGCTGAAGACATCTCTGCCTCACTCACAGCCTTTCTCCTTGGATACATCCCGGACTGTGGACCCCTTCATCCTAGATGTCATCACCTACTACATTCGCATGGGCACCCAACCCATCTATTTCCAGATCTACACAGTCAAGGTAAGCTTCCGACCTGGGCCTCCAATGATACCTTAGACCCCAGGACCCCACAACCTAAATACCCTGGCTCTGGAGAAACATAGGTACCAGGATACAAATAATAGACTTGCCCACACACTCTTGGAGTCCTGGTGTGATGCTGGGGGATGAAGTACTGAATCACAAGGTTGGTTTGAAACACAAGGGCGGCGGTTCAAACTCACCAGCTATTCTTTGGAAACCCTATACAGTGTCACTATGAGTCAGAACCAACTCAATGGCACTTACCTTAACGTAGACACTCTTGTTGTTTACTTTGTCTTCTTAAGACCTCAGATTCCAGCGGGAGTAGAGCCTCTTTCTGTGGAAAAGTCTCCTTAGCCCTTGATACTGGTTGCTGTGAGAACGGTCGGAGTCGTGTGCTGTTGAGACGGTTCTCACTCGTGGTGACCCTATCCCGAGTTTTCCAGGCTATAAATCTTTCTCCTGTGGAGCAGCTGGTGGATTCAAACTGCTGACCTCATGGCTGTCAGTCTAACACATGAGGTGCCACCAGAGCTGCTTATTGGCTGCTGCTGTTGTTGTTAAGTGCTGTGGAGTCAGTTCTGATCCATAGTGGCCCTGTATAGGGTTTCCGAGGAGCAGCTGGTGAGCTTGAACCACCGACCTTGCAGTTCAAAGTGACTTTGCAGTCTGGCGCTTTAACCCACAGAGCCACCCCAGGAAATCAGAGATTAGTTGGCATGGAAGTCCTCACCAGAACTTGCTTTACCTCAGGAATCTTAAACTCTCTTTTTCCCATTTCTGATCACAAACTCCCTCCAATGTTCTCCCACCTACTTGAACTTCAACATCCTAGATATGTCCAGTTTCTCCTATTTTCTCAACACCTGTCACCCCCCCTGCCTCCTGTCTTCCATTCCCACCCCGTCAGTTTCTCATGCGAATGATTTTCCCACCTCATCCTTCATTTGCCTTCCCTGCCATCTTCCCTCCCAGCCAAAGCTAACCCCAGATCAGTGCTACCATGTGCTTTATCCTTGGAGAAACCTTTCTGAGCACCACCTTTTTACCTGGGGGTAAAAAAGTCAAAGCCCTATGACTTGGCATCTCTACATATTGTGGCACCAGCCTCAGCGGGGCACACAGTGCTCCCTTGGCAAACTCCCTCTGCCTCGGCAACGCAGCCTTCACCACCTGCCTCAAGCCCTTCACTTTCAGCAAGTGACCTTTCCACCCAGATCACTGAAAATAGAAAAATCGAGGCCAGAGGCCAGTAGGTCTCTCCAGGAGTCCTGGTGGGGCGCTGTGGGTTAATGCACCAGTCTGCAATGCCATTTGAACTGCAAGGTCAAAGGTTCAAGCTCACCAGCTGCTCCTTGGAAACCTTATACAGGGTCGCTATGGGTCAGAACTGACTCGATGGCACTTAACAACAACAGGTCTCTCCAGAATTTCTGTGCATGCCTAGAAATGTATCTACACCTATTCCCGGGGGTCTCTACCAGTTCATGACTAACCAGCCATGTATGCCTTTGATCTGTCTGCTCCACCTCCTCATGAACCTCACTCCTTCAGTCATTTCCCCCTTCTCTTAGTTCCTCCCCTTTGTTCTCTCTATAGAACCTAAAGCCAACTAAACCATCTTTCTAAACTGTGCTGTTTCCATTGATGTCCCCATGCAGGGGATGCACAGCAGTGGGTTTGGAGGGGTAGAACCTGAGGATTAGGTTTTTTTCCACGTCTCAGTCTTATATTCTACTGTGGTTTAAAGTCCGATTTCTTCAGATGGGGGCTAAGGGCAGGGAATCTGGCTTTTTAAAGCCTTGCGTTCCCGAGACGAGCTACTTCTTATTGGTTGATACAAACAGAAAGGGCCTCTTTTAGAAGACTATTATAATTTTTCCCTCTTTGCTTTATGATTTGCTAGTTTCTAATGATCATCGTCTCTTTCTTATTGGCCCTTACTGCAGACAACTGAAAGTGGCCAGCACACTCCTATACCTGGCTTCGTTCTATCAACTCCTTGAGGCTCCAGCTTCAAGAGGCACAGAGTCTGAGTCCAGGGACACAGTGGGCAGCACCTTAACCAGCTGCTTTGTTACTGTTCCTGGAGATACCCAAATTCCCAGCTGGGGATGGAAGGATTCTCACCGTTCTCCACCCTACTTGTTGTTGTTATTAGGTGCCATTGAGTCGGTTACAACCCTATGTGCAACAGAACAAAACACGGCCTGGTTCTGCACCCTCCTCAGAAATATTGCTATGTTTGAGCTCATTGGTTCAGCCAACATGTCTATCTTGTTGAGAGTCTTCCTCTTTTTACTGAGCTTTGAATCAGGCTATGAGCTGCAAGGTTAGCAGTTCGAAACTACCAGCTGTTCCACGGGAGAAAGATGAGGCTTTCTGGTCCCGCAAAGATTTACAGCCTCGGAAACCCTGTACAGGGTCGCTATGAGTTGGAACTGACTTGATGGCACTAGATAACAACACCAACAACCAAGTATGAAATCTTTCTTCAGGGACTGGACCCTTCTGATAACATGTCCAAAGTATGTGAGACAAAGTCTGGCCATCCTTACCTCTAAGTAGCATGCTGGCCTTTTCTTCCAAGACAGATTTGTTCATTTTTCTGGAAGCCCCATGCGTGGCATAGTCAATATTCTTCAGTAACAGCATAAAGCACATGCATCAATTCTTCTTTGGTCTTCCTTATTTATTGTCCAGCTTTCACATACAGATGAGGTGACTGAAATACCGTGGCTTGGGCAATGAAACCATGTATGATAGAATGAATGTAAAACTAATGTTCTCCCATGTAAACTATCACACAATTCACAGTAAAACATTTATTAAAAAAAAAAAAGAAAGAAAATACCATGGCTTGGCTTGGGTCAGGTATACTTTAGGCTTCAAAGTGACATCTTTGCTTCTTAATCCTTTAAAGAGGCCTTTTGTAACAGATTTTCCCAATGTAATACGTCGTTTGATTTCATGACTGCTATTTCCATGGGTGTTTGTAGATCCAGGTAAAATAAAGTCCTTGACAAGTTCAATATTTTCTTTATGAAAATGTTGCTTATTCATCCAGTTGTGAAGGCTACCAGCCCACGGCCACCTTACTGGGACTCAGCCAACTTCTCCAGTTCTAGTTTGTAGTCACGAGGGTTATTTTGTTACAAGTAAGAGGAATCCTAAAAATGGGCATAAGAAAATCTATTGGCTAACATTGTTGAAAACGTCCAGGTTGAGTGGCTTGAGAAAATCTGGCTTTGAAAGCACAATGCCATTAGGGCTTGGTGTCTTTCTTCTCTCTCTTCATCAGTCTTCTGTCTATGGCTCTGAGTTGCTCCCCTTACATAGGCTTTTTCCTCATTGTGACAAGATGGCAACCAGCACTTCTGGGTCTACATTTTTCTAGTTTGCTAGCCTCAGTGGATTCCAATAGCTCAAGAAAAAGATCCAGAATTGAGGTAAGCACTTATCCCTTCACTAATCACTGTGACCAAGGAAATGGGTCACATGTCCACAAGGAGTCAAAGGTAATCAGCAGTCACCATTCCCAGGGGCACATCCAAAGCTGAACAAGGTGTGTTCTACTGATTTATTACAGTGAGGAAAAACACTCACCATGGCAACCATGAGGCATATTACAGTAACACAGTGGTGTTGTTAAATTCCATCCAGTTGTCTCCAACTATTGAAACACTGCCTGGTCCTGCACCAAGTTCATGGTTATTGAATCCATTATTGTGGCCGTTGCATAGTTGCCTCCCAACCTAGAGGGCTGATCTTCCAGGACTATATTGGATCATATTCTGTTGTGATCCGCAGTTCTTTCATTGCTAATTTTTTAAAGTCTTTCTAGTCTGCTTTAATGTGGAAGCATCACTAAGACCTGTCCACAGTGGGTGCCCTGCTGGTACTGTTTTACAATATTGGTAGCATAGCTTTCAACATCATAGCAACCACAGTACAATAAAACGGCAGATGGGTGGTGGAAGAAAGTGTTATTGTTGTTAGGTGCCATCAAGTCGGTACTGACTCATAGCGACCTTATGCACAACAGAACGAAACACTGCCCGATCCTGGGCCAACCTCACAATTGTTGCCATGCTTGAGCCCATTGATGATGCCACTTTGTCAATCCACCTCGCTGGAGGTCTTCCTCTTTTTCTCTGACCCTCCATCTTACCAAACATGATATCCTTCTCCAGTGACTGGTCCTTCCTGACAATATGTCCGAAGTATGAGAGACAAAGTTTGGCCATCCTGGCCTCCACGGAACACTCTGGTTGCACTTCTTCCAACACAGATCTGTTGGTTCTTTTGGCAGTACATGGTACTTTCAATATTCTCCTCCAACGCCATTACTCAAAGGCATCAATTCTTCTACAATTTTCTTTATGGACTGTCCAGCTTTCGCATGCATATGAGGTTACTGAAAATACCATGGCTTGGGTCAGGAGTACCTTAATCTTCATGACTTAATATGGCATAGTGCCTAAGGCCTTATAAGCTTGCAAGCAGCCATCCAAGACAAAGCAATTGGTCTTTATTCACCTGGAACAACAGAGGAAGGAAGAGAGTCAGGAATAGGAGGAGGATGTGGAATATGTGGCTAATTACCTCCGTGAACAACTGCCTCCTTTGCCATGAAACCAGAATGGGGTGGTGCCCTGTTGCCATTACTGAAAAGTGTGCAAACCATTTTGATCAAAAATTTCGTAGGAATGTTGGTTTGAACCCTAAGGTAATTGATTCAAACTCACCAAGTCATTCCTCAGAAACCCTATACAAGGTTGCTATGAGTGAGAACCAACTAGATGGCATGTAGCAAAGACAAGAGAGTTAACTTGGGTGACGGGGCAAGCAGTTTAAAAAGAATAAGAAGAAAAGTTAAAGTCAAAACTGCAAATGAAACAAAATGAAATATTTAGGGAAGGCACTGGAAAACATATGTTATCGCATGGGGAGAAAACCAGTAAATTAGCATAGGGTTTTAGCCTTGTAGGTATATCGATACATGTAATAAGGGTGTGCAAAGATGTTTTTGCTGTTGTGATTAACTATGGGGATATCGTTGTAAAAGAGCAAATTTCTGCTGAAATGCTGTATAAAAATCTCATGGTCAAAAAAAAAATCATAGAAGAATCCTGATCAAAAGGGGGAAAGTACAGAAGAGAATTTCAAAGTCACATAGACCCCAGACTAATCTTTAAACCTTAAAACATAAATATTTCCTGAAGTCTTCTTAAAAATCCAACAATAGTGTGGCTTAACTAGTTAAAAATAAATAAATAGAGGTCTGCTTTGAACATTATGCTCTTCTAAGAACTATCATTGCTAAATTGACAATAGGAACTCAAATGATGCGATAGAAACTTTCGGAGGCAGTGAATTTCTGTTAATTGGGAAGAAAACTCAGAGAAGGAGAATGAGAATAGTTCCACAACTCAAAGAATGTATTCAGTGTCACTATAGAGCACACATAGAAACTGTTGAATTGCTGTGTGTTTTGTTACATATATTCTCAACAGCCACAACAGAATACATAAAACTTATAAATCAAATGAAAAGAAAGGACTTAAAGTAGGATCTGAGATCCTAGGTAATTTGGGGGAGGGGCCAAAAGAGCAGGACTTTGCTCTGGCTTGGAGACTCTCAGTAAGTGGTGAATTCTTGTGACTGGGTAGTTCAGTTACCCTGGTCTCAAAGGTTAGAGATGTGAGCAGACACTCATGCTTGCCTGGCTAGGAGGATGAGGGTGAGGGGAGTTTGCACAGTGTTCATGGTGTTTGGACAGCATTGTGGAGTGGTCTGATTTTTTGTCTTCATCTTCACAGAGAGGCCTGGCCTACTGTTGGCATTCTGTGAAATTGCTCATAGTCAACAGAATGCCAAGAAACATTGTTAGCACTAGACCACCTCCCAGCTTTCAGGGACTGCTTCCTAGTCCTTGCACCCTGTTCTAAAAAAAAAAAATCCTCACCCATATTGTTCTGATGTCCTTTATCCTCCCACCAACCATGCCTCTTCTCTGGGCCATCAGGGGCCAGCCCTCCCTGCCAAATCTCCACAACCTCTCACTGAGAGCAAACGGCTCTCCCCAGCCCTGCCCTCAGTGGCTTTTCTGTGCATAACCCAAACCATTTACTTTCTCCTCTCCAGCTTTCACCTCTCTGCCCTCCCCTGCCAGTGTCTACACCAAAAGACCAAACCCACTGCCATTGAGCCGATTCTGACTCATAGAGACCCTATGTAGGGTTCCTGAGACTATAAATCTTTATAGAAGCAGAAAACCTCATCTTTTTCCCACGGAGCAGCTGGTGGGTTTTAACCTTGCGGTTAGCTGCCCAATGTTTATCCTACACGGGCTCCTTGCCAGTGTCTATAAGACATTCTATTTATGTACTCCTCCCCTTATGGGAATGTTGTCCTTGGCTTCCCCCACCACCACCACCACACACACCCATTTAGACAGTAGTGACTACCCGTAATTTAGGTTTTCTTTCGTAGTTTATTCCACCACTTGTACGTATTTCATACTATGCTAACTATATGGATAGAGCCAGAACCAGGTAATCATTTTATGAAGCTTAGAATCTAATATTGGCAGAATGAATAGGGAACGAAACCAACCTGGCTATAAGCACTATCTCCCACTATCTACACCCATGGGCTACTGGGAGAGGAGGGCTGCATTCTCTCTTAAGGAAACAGATTCAAACAATAGTTTGGCTAAACTAGTTGAAAATAAATAAATAGAGGTCTGCTTTGAACATTATGCTCTTCTAAAAACTTCCTCTCTCCAGATCTTCTTCAGTGATCTGAGCCAGGGCCCTGCTGAGGATGTTTTCCTCACTGAGTTGAAGGTGAAGATCCAAGAGTCCAGATTCCCCAAAGGTGAGCACCCAGTTTCCTTCTTCCAAATCTCGCCCAGACTCAGCTTTGCCCAAGACCCTTTTCCAGAGAATTCTTCCACTGCTCACCTTCTGACAGCCACCCTGCCCTATCCTATACCCCTGCTGAATACTCGAGCTGCCCTCAGCAATCCCCCAGGTTCTCCCAGACCAAAAGGAAGCCAGGCTGCTGAGTGCTGTTTTCCTTTCAGGGAGACAGAACATGAGAATCCAACTGCTCAACTCAGATCTTGAAGAGATAGGGAAGCCAGGTGGAAGGGGTGGTGTTGGAGAAGAATGTTAAATATACCGTGGGCTGTCAGAAGGACAGTCTGTGCTGGAAGACGTACAGCCAGAAAGTTCCTTATAAGTGAGGATGGAGAAACTTCATCTCATGTACTCTGGACATGTTATCAAGAAGGCCCAGTCCCTGGAGAAGGACATCATGCTTGGTAAAGTAGAGGGTCAGCCAAAAAGAAGAAGACCCTCAACGAGATTCTTGTACTGACACAGTACAACAAAGGAGATAAATGCAGGAATGATAAACGTAGGAGGATGGGGCAGGACTGGGCAAATGTTTCGTTTCATTGTACATAGATTTGCTATGACTCAGAGCTGATTCAATGGTACCTAAAAGTAACAAGGTGACACAAATTGTTAATGTGCTTGGCTACTAACCAAAAGGTTGGCAGTTCGAATCCACTGAGAAGCACCATGGAAGAAAGGCCTGGCAAGAAAGATCATTGTAAAACCTGTGGAGTGCCGTTCTACTCTCACACACATAGGGTGACCCTGAGTTTGAACTGACTCTATAGTAATGGGTTGTTCTGTTTGTTTTCATCTTCTCTCAGATGGTTTTTCACCCAAGAGGAGAGGCATGGCTGAGGGTCAAGGGGCTGAGCTCTCCATTTGCTACCAAAAGGTCAGTGCTCAAGTTGGTGTGCATGGGCCTAGTCAGGAGGTAGCCAGGAGGGACAGCTGAGTGGAAGAAGGGGATGCAGATAGAGCCAAAGGAACTTCATGCCACTTCTCTTGAAGCTGTCTCCAGAGAGCCCTGGTCTACAGAAAGTTTTACAGACATGAATGGGTTTGATTGCCCTATGTACAGACAAGGAGGTGGTCTGTGGTAAAGGACAAGAGAGATGTGCCATTGCTCCCTTACTAACAGGTCAGATGTTTGAACTTACCTCACAGGAGATCTAGGCTGAAGATGCTGTCTGGGGCTAGGAATGCGCTAAGCCTGCATCAGCTGACCCCTTACTGGGCTCTAGGGACACAGACAAAACTCGCAGGGTAGGGGCAGGAATCATGGCAAAGAAATACACACTATTGATGTAAGGATGTCCTGGGGGGTGGGGGCAGCTGTCATACAGACCCCATCTATCCCTACATCTCTCCCTCCCCAGGCCCTGCTCAGCCACCGGGCACGAGAGGTCACTGTTTCCCTGCGGGCCACTGGGCTGGTCCTGAAGGCCATTCCGTCTAATGACACTGAAGGTGAGGGGCCGGGGAAAGAGCAGAGAGGGGGAGAAGGTGGGGCATCCAGTGGCCAGAAATGGGTGACCATCAGGAGGAGGCCTTCCATGTCTCCGCCCTCAGACTGCTCACACAACCCGGGAAACAGGGTGGGCTCCCTTACGGATTGGCTTCTGCCGACTGATTGGATTTTCAAGCTGAAAGGTGGATGGGTCCCACAAACGGGTTATGGGTGGGCTTGTGCCTCTGAATTGGACCTGTAGAGTTTGTTGCATTTTGTGAAAATTGTTTTTATTTTGAGTGTCATCTCTCATGGGATAGCTATTATCCGGTTCACAGAAGACACATTTCTCCTAATTCCCCAACTCGACTGGGCTCTGGGGGTTCTGGAGTTTGTGACTTCTGGTTTCCTGGAATAATGAAAACAACGGGGGCTCATATTTACCAGAGGTCAGGGACTATTTTAAGCAGGTTAACCATATTCACTTGTTTAAGCATATGAACTCCATCAGATAGTATTAGTATGAGCAGTGTTTTACTGGAAACGGCAGCGGAGAGATTGATTTACCCCCAGTCACAATGTAAGTAAGAATCAGAGTCAGGATTCAAACCCAGGCCACCTCACACAAGATTCCAGGCTTTTCCCCACTGCCACGCTACCTCCACCGTGAGTTCAAATCTCAATAGAGGAGACCCAAGGGATGCTACCTACAGATACTTGTAGAATATAGTCCACTCAGGAAGGACCTAGCTTGTTCACCTCAATAAACATCCATCTTCTCAGTAAACATTCAGCTACATAGTAAACATTTGCTGACTAAATGAAGTGCTATTTTATATTACCACCACCAGCCCTTCCCCTCCCCCCGCACACAAATAGATGCATTTGGAATATTCCAAAATGAAAATGAAAATGCACATTAGCATGCCCAGGAGAAAGCCATCTCTGATCCATTCACTCTCATCCAACCAAACATAATTATCTGGCCCTCTGCTGAAGACACTGCTCTGCCTATAATGCACGGGGATTCTCCTGTGGGCATCATAGCTCTTAAATTACCTTACATCTGGTACAAAAGCAAAGCTCAAGAGATATCTATTGAGTTTATCAATTCCTGATTTGTGGATGTGCCGGTAGCATAGTGGTTACGAATCAGGCTGTGAACCTCAGGGTCAGTAGTTTGAAACTACTAGCTGTTCCGCAGGAGAAAGATGAGACTTTCGGCCCCCATAAAGATGTACAGCCTCGGAAACCCTGTACAGGGTCGCTTTGAGTCGGAACCGACTCCACGGCACATAACAACAACAACAACAACAAACACCACAAAGGCCTTCTGGTGTGACGCTGTAGGATCAGCACTGGACTGTGAATCACAAGGTTGCAATTCAAAGCCACCAGCTGCTCCTGGGAAATCCTATACAGGGTCTCTATGAATTGGAACCAACTCAACGGCACTTAACCACACCCACACCACCATCACAAAGGGAGACTTGCCATTCTGGAAATCACTTAACTCAGAGGTGATTATAGAGCAGTGGGTTAAGAGGACAGATTCTAGAGTTGGATTGTTATTGTTAAGTGCCATCGAGTCATTTCCGAACCAGAGCGACCCTATAGTTTCTGAGTTGCTGCTGGTAGGCTTGAACCATCAACCTTGCAGTTCAACCAGACCTTGCAATCCAGAGCATTAACCCACACAGCACCACACCAGGACTCCAGAGCCAGATTGGTGGTGGTGGTGATGTGCCGTGGAGTCGGTTCCAATTCATAGAAACCCTGCATATGGTTTCCGAGGCTGTAAATCTTTACGGGAGCAGAAAGCCTCATCTTTCTCCCATGGAACCACTGGTAGTTTCAAACTGCCGACCTTGAGGTTACAGCCCGACTCGTAACCTCTACACTACCAGAGCTCCTTAGAGTCAGATTGGCAGGGTTCAAATCCCAGCTTTGCCATTCAGTATCTGTGTGATGTTGGGCAAGTTACTTGTGACCTCTCTGTTTCTTTATTTCTGAAATGAGGATAATAAAAGGTACTCCTTTAAGTATGTATAATAAACAACAAATGTCAGCTTTTATATTTTAAATTGCATTTCTCCTATTTCCTTCACAAGACTCTCAACCTGGCCACCACCACTCTAATTCATTTTCCATCCCAGAATTCCACCAGAATTGGCATGGCATTGCCAGAATCCCCCCTCCTGGGAACCATCACCCAATAACAGTGTTTGAGACATTGTACACTTTGAGAAAGTCAGGGAAACATCCTCAGCCTGTTGATTCTAATCCCCTCCAACACTCCCTTGGCACCTCTGTTGTAAATAAAACCCTGGGCTAGTTTTACTTGTCCCATAGTTGTGAGGAAGTTCAGCAGAACTTTCTTCCACTAAAGACTGGGTAGAGTCTTTACAATAAAGAAAGTATTGGTGGTAGTTGCTTTGATATACAGAAACTTTGTGGGTTCTCCAGGAAGAGAGGTGATCTGAAAGGTACCAGATCATCCACACTGACTGTGGCCAAGCAGAATCAGGAAGAGGGGCTGAGCAGAGTAGGGAAGTGGATTGAGATGGGGTGAGGGATATAAAAAATATCTTCATGAAAGTCTTCTGAGGATCAAGAAGCTCCAACTCCCCAGCTTCCCTGGTGGCCCATTCAAACCTACCCCCTCCCCATCTCCTCTGCCTGATTTCAGGACCCACCCACTCTCCTCGAACTGCTACAAACCACACATGCCTGAATGTCAATGTCACAGAGGTTGTCAAATCCTCCAACTTAGCAGGAAGGTCCTTCTCGGTGAGTTCTGGGAAGAAAGGAAAAGGGGGGATGGTCAGATGGGAACTGGAGATGTGTAAACAGGGGAGGTCACTGGCAACCCATGTCAGAGGAGGTTCAGAGAAGAAATGACTTCTAAGCCTTCCTGAGCCTTTTGCTATAGAAGTGGGTCTTCCTATCAGAAAGAACCTGCTTTCCTGATAGTCTGAAATATTGAACACGGACCATTTGAATAAGGTACTAGACAAGTTAGAGCCTTGGCCTCCACCTGCTGACCATTTAGCTGAAGTCCTGAGACATAACCAGATGACAATAAAATGTACGGACATCCTGTTATCACTCTATACCATACAACCATTCAACCTTTGACTGTATCAAACCAACTCTTTCAACCTCATTTCTCCTCAGGAGAAAACCGGGCTTTCTGCTCCTGTAAAGATTTTCAGCCTATACAAGGTCACTATGAATTGAAACCAACTCCCCGACACACCGCCATCACTACTATACAAAAATGTACTTGTGCATGTCATCAAATATGCTATTATGTCATTAAATATTTACTGTGTGGTGGTGGTAGCGTGCTCTTGGGTTGGTTCTGACTCATAGCAACCTGGTATAGGGCTTCCGAGGCTGTAAATCTTTTTTTTTTTCCTTAAAAAAAAAAAAAAAGCTTTTATTGTGCATTGAGTGATAGTTTACATCGGAGAACATCGGTTCAACTACTTTAGCCTGAGTTGGAAGTCCCACAATATCCCAAACTCAAGTCAACACTAAAGCCAGTGTCTTTTAAAAATAGTTAAGAGCTCTCTAGAGACAGACTGCCGGGGTTCAGATCTTGGCTTTCCCATTTGCCAGTGCAGTGACTTTAGGCGAGTTATACCATTTCATTAACTGTAAAATGGGGAAATGACATGCCATCTGGTTGTTGTAAGGATTCAATGATTGTGGTATGTGCTGCTCTTAGGAGAGCGGTTGGCATGTCAGAGCCACATACGTGTTAGTGGTTGTTTTGATTTCACCCCCTCCTCCTCTATGTTCGTCTCAATAGCTCCATCATCAACCAGCCACGTCCTCCAGGAACCTGGGAATTAACTGCCTACTCTCTTCACTTCTCCATGGCCTGCTGGTTTTCTCTCTCAAATACATCTCAGATCTCTCCCTTCCTCTCTGCCCTTCTTCTTTGGGTCTAGCTAGGTTAAGTAATCATCCCCGTTTGCATGGAACTCAGGAACTTCCTGGGGCATGAACTTTTTGGTGCTAAAACCAGGAACGTGCCAGGCAAATCGAGACAATTTGGTCACTCTAGGTCTAGACCCTCATCCATTCCCTTTCTGAACAAATGCAATCTCCTCTCATCTGGTCTCCCTGACACCATTCCTATTCTCCTGAAGCCCACCTTTCACAACTCCACCCAAGTGATCTTTCTAAAACAGAACTCGCCAAGTCTCTTTATACCTCTCTATCATTCCCCAGCTCCATGGCAGAATGGTAGCTGTTGTGCACTTTGGTTCCTTTTCCTCTCATCCACAACTCCAGCCACCCCCTGCAGGCCCTTTACTCCATGATGTTTGGAGTGTTCACAGTCCCAGTGGAATCTCTGGGTGGTGCAAATAGTTAACACGCCTGGCCACTAACCAAAATGTTGGAAGGTTGAGTCCAACCAAGTGGTGGTTATGTGCCGTGGAGTCAGTTCTGACTCATAGTGACCCTGTACAGGGTTTCCGAGGCTGTAAATCTTTATGGGAGCAGAAAGTCTCATCTTTCTCCCGTGGAACAGCTGGTAGTTTCGAACTGCTGACCTTAAGGTTCAGAGCCCAATACATAACCACTATGCTACCAGAGCTCCCACCTTGAAAGAAAGGCCTGATGAAAACTCTTCCATTGAAACCCTAGAGAGTATAGTTGTACTCGACTCCCACACACGGGCTCACCATAGCCATAGTCTGTTTGGATAGTTCCGGCAGTTCACCTCTGACCCTCTGCTCATCTTGTTCAATCAGCCTTCCTTCCTCTTCCTCATTTTCTTTGTCTAACTCCTACTCATCCTTCAAGATGAAACTCAAGTGTCATCTCCCCTGGGAGAACTTTCCCAATGCTCCTCCTTCCTTCCACATTCTACCTAGCCTGTTTCCACCCCTGTGAGCTAGGTATCTCACCTCTGTGTACCCATAGAACACCGGGCCGCAGCCATGGATCATTTTCATGACAAGATCTTTATATGTGACTAGTTCGTCTTCATCCCTGATCTCCTCAGCACTCACTGTGGTGTCTGGCACATCGTAGGAACTCAATAGATGCATGTCTCTAGTCCATCCTCCCATCTGAACTATAAGCTCACATTTCCTGAGGTAGGCTAGGCACTGTAGGAGAGCTCTGATTGGCTGAGAAATCTACAGTAGGGGGTGTGGTGCTATAACCACTGGAAGGCTAACTGCAGGTTGGCAGTTCAAATCCACCAGTTGCTCCTTGGAAACCCTATAGAGGGTCATTATGAATTAGAACCAAACTCAGTGGTACTTAGCAACAACAACATAGGGCCGGTGCCAGTTGTTGTCAATTCTGACTCCATGTGTGTTTGGAGTAGAACTGCGCTCTAGGGTTTTCAATGACTCATTTCTCAGAAGCAGCTCTGCAGACCTTTCTCTCAAGGCACCTCTGAATGAACTTGAACCTCTATCCTTTTGACTAGCAGCTGAGTGTATTAACTGTTGGCACACTATACCAGGGACTCCTCCTATATAGGACAACAAGGTATTAAAACTTTAAGCTCCAAAGTGGACCCATTCACCCTTCTGTTGTGTTTCCTCTTTCAAAGTTGGTTCCTTATAACAGTTTTTTTTAACAACCTGGTCAGAGGCTTTTTGAAAATCTAAACTTATCACCCAAGCAAGTTCTCTTCTATCCCTGCACTAATTTTCTGACGGTGAAATTCTGGTAGCCTGGCTTACCTTTGAGGAGCCCAAGTGATGCTGTGGGTTAAGTGCTGGACTGCTAATGGCAAGGTCGGCAGTTCTAACCTCGGGAGAAAGATGCAGCTGTCTGCTCCCATAAAGATTTACTGTGTTGGAAACTCTAAGGAGTAATTCACATAGGGTGGCTATGAACCGGAATCCACTCTGTGGCAGACGTTTGACTGTTGCTTTGGGTGTTTTCCTCTTGGAACTCCAGGTGGGTCAGTGCACATGTTCTATCCAAATGAATCAGATGGTGGACACTGAGCAGCAGGGAGAGGTTGCGGTGAGTGAAGGCTGTCCCCTGCTCAGACAGTAGCATGGGCAAAGGCACTGTGTCAGCAAAAATAGTACCTTGGCAGGACTGGAAGCTTGACTTAGACAGTAAAGGAAAAGGAAGAGGGAACAGTAGAATCGGGGCTTTGGGCTTCACCTAAAGACCGAAATCCAAGACCCAAAGCCAGGGAGGTAGAGTGTGTCTGGGAGTATCAATCACAAAGGGGAAAGAAGAGGCCTACACTGGAGTCATGATGTAGGTAGTGTTGTAGGATAAGTATTCAACTGCAAGGTTGGCAGTTCAAATCCACCAGCCACTCCTTGGAAACCCTATATAGGGTTGCTATGAGTTGGAACCAACTAGAGGGTGCTTAACAACAGCAACGCTGCAGGGAGGTAGGAAGGTTCTGAGGCTCGAGAGAGAGACCAGTTCTGTGGGCAGGGCCATGGAGGCCCAGATGCCCTGGGAAACACCAGAGCCACCTGCCGCTGTAGAAGGAGCACTGAGTGGTACCTAGATAGTGGGAAGGAGAATGGCACTCTATCCATCAATAGATGTAGATTTGACAGAGGATATTGCTACATATGTATTTACCTATGCTGAAATTATATCCATGAATACAGGTGAGGGCAAAGTTATGAAATCTTACTATAACTAAGCACCTTCAGGGAAGGTCTTAGGGAACACCAAGATCAGTTGGCATAACAGCATCAACAAAGACAATGTTCTACATCCTACTTTGGTGAGAAAAAACTGGGGTCTTAGAAATTTGCGAGAGGCCATCTAAGGTGCAACTATTGGAACTAAGTTTGTCTGGAACAAAGAGGAATGAAGAAACAATTAGTCCAGTGGACTTCAGCTTCCATAACTCTGAGACCAGCAGAACTAGATGGTGTCCAGTTATCACTAGCGACTGCCCATTAGAAGGGCCTGAATAGAAAGGGAGAAAAATGTGGAACGAAACACAATATCATAAGGAAGACCAGACTTCCTGGTAGCTTAGAGACTGGTGGAACCTCGGAGACTATGGCCTTAGTCACCCTTCAAGCCTGGAACTGAACTCACCCTTGGGATTCAGTTTTCAGCCAAACAATGTTGTCCTTCAGCGCTGTCCAGTTGGTTCCAACTTATAGCGACCCTGTATATGGTTTCCAAGGAGCGACTGATGGGTTTGAAGTACTGACTTTGTGGTAGCCATCCAGTGCTTAACGCACAGAGCCACACCAAAACTCCAGCAAACAACAGACAGGTCTATAAAGTGAACAATAACATTAAGAACTAGTGTAACAATAACTCACTCCTTAGAATAATCAGCACAAGAGATCAAAAGGGCAGCATTTGCCCAAGGACCAAGCTCAGAAGGCAGGAAGGGACTGCACATGGAAACTACAGGGGGAAATGGGGCAGGTGACATTACATTGAAAAAAACATGTGTGAATTGTTGAATAGAAAACTCATTTGCTCTGTAAACCTTCACCCCGTTCACAATAAAAAGTTGAAAAAGAAGAGTAAAGGGAATCAAGAAAAGAGCGCTGAGTTGGAAATCCAGAACCTGGCCCAACCTCCCGCCCCTCCTCCTCTCTCCAGCACACACACACCATGACTCCTGCACACTCAATTTCTCGGCATCTCAGTCTGCCCACCAGGAAGAACTTGACACCATCTCACCAGCTGGAGTCAACATCTCACCAAAACCTAACAGAAAATCAACGCCCTGGTCCAGAGCCCCGGAGTCAAAGGTGGTTCTGGTTCCAGACTTGCCGTTGCCTACCACCTCCTCCTCCAGCTACCTTGAAGTCGATTCCAGTTCATGGAGCCCCATGTGTGTCAAAGTAGAACTGTGTTCCATAGGGTTTTCAGGGGCTATGATTTTTCAGAAGTAGGTTGCCAGGCCTTTCTTTCTAGGTGCCTTTTGGTGGATTTGAACAGCCAGTCTTTTGGTTAACAGCCAAGT